TTCGTCGGGTATCGATGAGCTGAGCTGAGGGGGAAAGGGAAGAGAATCAATGGCCTGCCGCTTCTCGCTGCTTCTGCGTCAACGTCCACGTTGCTATCGCTACGACAGCGCCTAACTGTGACAGTTCGCTGTCTTAACATATATAGAGATGGCCCAACTAACATATGAGACAATAATTGATAAAAAAATAAACTTTTTTTTTTCTTAATGACTTTGAATGAGTTAAATTGTAAATTTAGGTTTATAATGTTTATTTAAGTAGAGTTCGGGTCCGGCCCGAAATATCCGAATACTTGCAGTCCTAGAATGTTATTAGGGATTTTTGTAACTCTTAGTATAAGGAATCACTGGATTTTAGGTTTTATTTTGTAGCTCTTATGAGCATTGGTGAGCTGGATGTTCCTTCTAAGGACCAGATAATCCAATTTTTAAATTAACGCGTAGGCCCCGTCGTGAGTTTTAACAAAAAAAAAAAAAAGATCAGTTTAAAGAACGGGTCAAAAACGTGGAGCTGAACTGGCTCGATAACTCGTTTTAGTTTTAAAAATATATTTTTATTAACATGTTAGTAATAAATTTTAGATTAATTAATAAAAATGAGAAAATTATACTAATAAATAAAAAAAAAATAAGGGGAAATAATAAGCATGTTTTTTTGAGTCAAAATTAGGTTGGTGAGTTAACTTGAACTTTACATGTTTATTAAACGGTCGAAATGCAAAACTCAAACTTGGCCTGTTAATTAAATGGTTCAACCCAAACTCATATTTTTGGGTTTGATCTGAGTTGTGTCATTTATTGACACCCATATATTTAAGATCTTTTTTTTTTTTTTTTTTAAAGTTAAAAACCCATTTAAGATCTTGAATTAAAGATCTATAAGCTCCTAATTAATAGGTTAAAAGATTGATTGCATAGATAAAGATCTTATTGTCTCTATATAAATTATTTTTGATTTTCTTTTTAAATTTTGTTAAAAGGTTAGAGGCTGTTGGTTATTGATGAATTGGATATTTACCAAAGATAAATGGTAGAACATTTTGGTGAATATTATATATTATATGTATATATATATATCTATATATATTATATATATATATATATTTAAATTTATACTATTTCACCTAAAATAAATAAGAAGTTTAAATAATGAGATTTTTCATACTGATTTGTTAAAACTTACTGCATGTGATAAGCTATATGAAAGATGTATTTAATATTTTTATTTAGTATGTGGCCTTTTCCCTCTGTTTTTTAACTACAAACATATGTGTGCAAACAGTTAGTTCAACATAACACAACGTGTGATTGAGTTCGCTCTGTTGGCCTGTACATTAGTATACTGTTTTGAGCTCCCACTTTTGTTTTCTTCATTTTTTTTTCCTTAGATTTAATTATGCAAAGTCGTTTTTGCTTGAGTAGGATGAGATTATTATATGCGAAGTTTGGACAGCTAGAATCGTTCGAATTCTGTAAGGATACATAATAAATACATAGCAAATACATAGTTTTATTTATTACTGTGTATTTGCTATGTACCCTCACAGAATACAGATGGTTCCCCCTCGCGTTTGGACTTCGCACATAATAATTTCTAGCTAATTACAGACTGTCTTTGATCACAAATATATTAGTTTTTATAACGTTGACTTAGAGCTAATTTCTTATTAAAAAATAAATCAAAATGATCAAAATCAGTTTTGACGCAGCTCAGGAATTTTTTTTTACTGACATTATAAGAAGGATATTAATAATGTGGTGTCTAGTCACAAATTAGATCAATAGCAATATAAAATTAATGTCTCAGATAGTGACATTTATTTAAAATCATAATTATACAAATATTTTTTGTTAGAAGAATTAAAAGAAAAATCAAAAATTATTTTTTAATTTTAAAGCCAAAATATGAAGTTTATATAAGAAAATTATAGTTTTAGAACAACCTGAAACACAAAATCATCCAAATAAAACAAAATAATCTCTTTTCATTTTCATTGTTTCTCTCCACTGTCTGAACTACAAATCAATTAGATCTTCAAACAGGAAATGAAAATGCTGTAATTACTAATCATTACAGCATATTTTCTGAACAGCAGTAATGTTCTGAAACATTCATAGGAGAACTTATTTAGGCTTCTCTTTTGCGAGAAATTATTCTCTGCGGAGGCCGTTAGAGACCAATCATAATCCACCACGTCAGCATTATATTACCGAGCGGTACCAAGCCGCGGTATCGAGCAAAGGTAGGGGTGACGTGGAGCATTCTGATTGGTCTCTTCGAGCCGCGGTATCGAGCGAAGGGGTGACGTGGAGCATTCTGATTGGTATCCGGATGGCGTTCACACAGAATAATTAATCTCGTTTATGACACCTTCTTTATTGCTTTTGAAAACGTTTTTTTAGTACAAAATTTTCTAATTCAAAAAAATTTTGTACTAAAATTTTATTTTATAAAGCAACAAGAAAACTGCCACAAATGAAACTTTAATTTTTATTCGGAATAGTTTTTTATGTTTATTAAAATAATTTTTTAGTATAAATATTCTTTTTTATTTATTAAAAAGTTGTTTTAAAAACCAAATGAAATCTTAATTGCTTCGTTCAGTGCTTCTAATATTTGTTTTAACTGCCCTGTACTTCTCATGCTTTAGATTCTGAAACATATATGTCATATAAATTTATGAAGGTGCTTAAAAAAGACTAAACAGATGATAGAGTAACCAATGGCTGCAGCAGAAATCTGTATATTTTACTCACTGAGAAAATTCTGCTTTTCTTGTTTATTGCAGCATTTATAACCTCTATTTTACAAATGTTCCCCTTTATTTTAAAAAAACTTGATTAACAGGCAATTATTTATTAATTTGGACAATTGGGGGCCATATTTATTTAATAGAAAAAATGATCATAATGATTTGTCGACTCTTTATGAAAGATCAAAATAGTCTTCAACTATATTAAATGATTATTTTGGTGCGACACTCATTAAAAAACAATCAAATAGTCTTATCATGAAATTATTTTAAAGATTTTAGGGATCAAAATAATCTTTTAATATGATCAATGAATGATCATTTTGATATTTCTTAAGGATTAAGAAGGATTGCAGGCTTGGTGCTGCAGCCTCGCATTTGGCTACCAATGATCAAATTCAATTTTTAATTGAAATTTTAGTTAAGATGTAAAGACTTTTCTGCTTCTTAAGCTGCTAAATGTTTATAGCAAATTGCAAGATATTTTCTATTATAATACAATGAAGAAAAAATCAAAGATTCTTCTTTTTTAATGAATAAAAAATAAACATGCAAACAGGCCAAATTAATTTATTTATATGCATATATAAAGATATTGGATTCATATTAATTATGTATTATTATTTAATATTTTAGAAACGACGATTAAACTAAAAATCAGCTATCATGCTTACAGTTAAATAAAAAAAAAAAAAAAAAAGAAATTTTTTCTTAAAATATGGAAATAGCTAAAAGAATATTTTCAAATATTTTAAAAACACGAATCTCAATTTTTTTATTATATTAAACTAATTGAACATTTAGTATAATAATTAGATGTATCTGATAACTAAATATGAAGTAATTTAATAATGAATAGAAATAATTCTGACAATGAATTTTTAAACTTATTAGAGATAAATAAGAATTAAAATTATGACCATGAAATGTAATTATTGTTTTATCCTAGTAATTCATCCAATATGACTGATAAATTCATTAATTCATCAATATGATAAATAGGCTAATTAGGTTTTTCTATGATAATTAGGCCTACGATAATTACATTGTATACTAATTAGTAAAAGTATAGTGTTAAAATATTTAAGCTGATTACAAATTAATTAAAACTTAATTATTTTTTAAGTTTACTTAAACACATTCTAGAACAGTTAAATAACTATTTCTCAAGACAATAAAAGTTAATTATAATTACAACAACAACAACATCAAGCCGTTATCCCATTACGTGGGGCCAGCTACATGAATCTTTTTTCTTCATTGTGTCATATTAAAAGTCAAATTCTCATTTAAATCTAATAAAGAAATATAATATTTAATATTTTCTAACCAACTCTTTCTCAAATCTAATACCTCTACTTTCCTAACCAGATCATCAAAAAGACACCCATGTGACAAAACCATCTAAGGCGACTCGCTCTAATCTTATCTTCTAATTCCAATCTTTTCAGTTTTCATATATATGCTCATTTCGTATCCTATCTCTATGGGTAAAGCCGCTCATCCACCTGAGCATCCACATCTCTACCACACTTAACTTAGTATTATGCTTCTGTTTTAAGAGTCAACATTCAGCACCCTAAAACATTGCAAACCTCACCACCATCTTATAGAATTTTTCCTTAAGTTTGAGAGGTACTTTTCTATCACACAACAAGCTCGATGCATTCCTCCACTTCAACCATCCAACTTGAATTCTGCTGATAATATCCCCAACTATTGCACCATCACTCTAAATAATAGATCCAAGATATCTAAAACGTGTACTCTTATTAATAAGTTGATCGCCCAAAGTCACAATCCCTTCACTAGGTCTATTACTACTAAAATAGTAAAATTACACTCCATATATTCCGTTTTAGATCTACTCAAGCAAAAATCTTTGGACTCTAAGGTTGACCTCCATAATTCAAGTTTATCTTCAACTCCCTCTCTAGTCTTATCAACAAGAAGAATATCATCAGCAAAAAGCATACACCAAGATGCATCCTCTTGCAAATGTTTAGCGAGAACATCCATTACTAAAGCAAAAATATAGGATTTAGGGTTTAGGATCTAGTAATTATTGTTTTATCCTAGTAATTCATCCAATATGACTGATAAATTCATTAATTCATCAATATGATAAAACAATAATACATTTCATTATTGTTTTATCCTAGTAATTATTGTTTTATCCTAGTAATTCATCCAATATGACTGATAAAAGTTAATTATGATTATAGCACAAATATTTACACGAAGCAGTTCGTAAAACTTATGCCAGCTATGATAATTATAAAATAAATCGAAACCAAACAGGAAGTTTCAGTACATCTGCAGCCCAAAAATTAAAATATGGTTTCAGGATTATAGAAATCAGATGATCCTACAAATTTTCTTCTCCAATCAAGCTTACAACCAATTCTTTTCATATACACATTTATACAAAAGCTGGGCTGGTAATGTGATTTAACTGGATGAAGCTAGTAATCAGGATTGAAACGAGAAAATTGATATAAATGATTAGGTATGGCTTGCCTGATCGATCAAAGGATCATGAATCAAATAGCAATTCTTAGGCTCCATCCAAGGTGAGAATAGTTTCAGACCTCCTTCCCTCTTGAATTCATGAAGGTTTTGAAGAAATTTCAGATCAAATCATCTCTGCTTCCTTGAAAAGAGCAGATTCCATGCTTAAATGCTTGCAAATCAATCCGTATATCTCAACATTCTATGCGCAATCGTCGCAATTCTGCTTGAAATTTGGGACTGGCAGTAAGAGTTTTGTGAGCAAGCATTCTAATGTCCTCTCGAGAACAGTCCCTTGAAATGCGAACAAGCTCCCACAAGGCACCTTCATTAATCATATCCTTTGCATTTACTTCTGTAAAAAATAATAATGAGAATATGCACCAAATCATGTTCTTTAGGGTGTGAAGAGGGAGCTATTATTTTGTGCGGACACCGGCCGGTCCTCCAGTCCGATTACGTGCTCGGTACCGAGCTCGGAACTGAGCGCGGTACATTTTTGGGGTGATGTGGCGCATTTTGACGTCCGGACTCCACACAAAATAATAAATCGTGAAGAGGGGACCTGTCTACGCACCATGTTGTGCCAAGTGACAGAGGGCAAGCTCAATATGCCGCCTGATTGGTGAAGCTTCGTTGTTGGCATTCTTGACTATCCAGGGGAGTGCTCCATCTTCAATTAGAAGTGAACGCCCAGTATTATTTCCTACAGTTGATATGTAAATATTCAAGTCGTCAGTTACAGGCTGATCTGATTGTTATGGAGACTTGAGAATATTAAGGTCATCAAAACAATTAGAAATGTTATCAGTTTTAAATTTATGTTATGTTATGTTAACATTAAACCCAAAAAGAAGATTTGCTGAATATGCTCTTTATATAGATTAAAACATTGAATGACAGAGATTGTTACCTACAGATTCTAAAATTATGATATGCAATTAGAAAAATCCCATTTTTATTGTTTTCTTCGAGACCGCAATTTTCCATTATTCTAATATTGGATGTGTTGAAGCTTCTCTTCCGCCATTAATTCAAGGTCAAACTCCTAACCTATTGGTGGAAGAGAAACTTTTACACATTCATTATTACCACAGGTTGCTTTAAACTATGACAAGTGGCCATTAAATGTATTGAACTTCAATACTGAATAACCCTTTGTTGTACTAAATTGTACTTAGCTGGTACAGGTGACCTTTTCCCACTAACTTACCTGCTTGTTCTAAGGCTATGAAGGCTTTCATTTTCTCATTAATGAGAGTTTCAAGTTGAGCAGCCCTCACAAGCTCAGATGTACTTAGGGCACTTTGAGGAGTAGGCTGGAGAGAGCATGAAGTATTCGAAAAGCATCAAAAGGCAGAGAGCATGAGTTGTCAGGGTCAAGTTCGCAGTTCACCGACAAAGAAAATGTTGTATGAAAGATTGGGAATATGGAGACGAAAAAGTATGAGTTTCAAAGTATGTGTTGAATGTATGCTTTGATAGATGGGAAATATGAATGGATTGTCCATTGCAAATGATGATTTGTTGGGCTCCTTGAAACAGTTTGGAGTTATAAAGCTGATGTGGATCCGAGTGAGGTGGGATGTTGTGTTGGCGTCTAGGATTCAGTCGACTGGTGGGTATTGAGGAGTAGCTAGAAGTGCATGACAAGTGTTATTGGCTATTGGATAGGCTAAGTTAGTACAGTGCCAACACTTGGCTGCCAGGGGCATTGCTTGCTGCGTATCTAGCATATAACAAGGTGGCTGTAATATTTTTCATAACAGCGTCTGCCAGTTCAGCAGAAACGGCGCAGCATTGATCAGAAGATGTGGAGGAGCAATTTTCTACAATAATTAATAACAGTCGGTTAAAAACTGTACAGTTCATCACTTCATCCACACCATACACGTGTAAAGCACATCTTCACTTTATGCCAACGTACACATCTAGCCAACCTTTTTACATTATATACACAAGAAAATAGTAATTGTAATAGCTCTTAAGTTAGAATAAAATGAAATGACCATTAGGTAAAAAGGAGCTCCTCCTTCTATGCTTTTTCTTCTTCCTAGAATTTTACTGCAGCTGCTTACAGCCTTTATTCCAGCTGTACCTTGTCTTCATGGTATCAGAGCCCTTTTTCAGCCTAACGGCTACTAGTGGACATGGAGCACTCCGCAACATCACACGTTAACAACCCGGCACCTGGACCCACCTCCACCAAACACCCAATCCCCTAATCCCTTAAAATTGTTATCTCTAACATCAAAAATATTGTTCTCACTCCCCTCTCTAACGACAACTGCTCCACATGGCGCTCCCAAATCCTCAAACTATTCAGAGAAGATGGCTTCGTCTCTTACCTCGACGGCACTCTCGCGCCCCCTCGCCTTCATATCGGCCCTCTGCTCCACCATCACAGCCTCCATTCTTCCCTATGCTCTACATCTAGAGACCAATCATGACATCTGGCTAACTATAGAGCACAGGCTATAAGCCTCCAACCGCTCACGTGTAATCCTGCTAAAAAATCAACTACACAATATCTCCATGTCCACCATGTCCATGTCCATGTCTCAGTACCTTATAGAGATTAAAATGCTAGTTGACAACATCGCAGCCTCTGGATCTTCGGTCGACACCAAAGACATTATACTATACACCCTAAATGATTTGCCACAACAATATCAAGCTTTCAAAACCTCCATTCTAACCAAGCCAACTCCCTTAAGTCTGGAAGACTTATACTCCCTGCTAATCAACGAGGAAATCAACCTCTCTGTCGAATCATCCAGATACAATCCATTACCTGAATCTCACTCAACTCTCTACACTAATCAAGGACAAGGCAATAACGGTCAAGATCATAACCCAACCCAGACGCAACACTGCCTCTCCTATCACCACCTATCAAATATGTGGCAAAAGAGGCCAGTCAGCGCCTATTTGTTGACGCATGATGAACCCTAACTATGTCACTCTCACTTCCTCTGCCCTCACTGCATACAATGAACTAGAGCATTCCGACTAGTACCTAGATTCAGGAGCATCATCGCAGCTCACACCCCAACTTGACAACATCATCGATCCTCAACCTTACCAAGGGACCGACCACATCACTGTTGGCAACAACAACACTGCCAATCTCTCATTCAGGCCGTGGTATATGATAGGAAACACTTGAAGATCTCAAGAATTTCCTATTTAATCTTTGGAAAACAGCAAAAATTCTCTGCAAGAATCCACACAAAATCACGAAAACAATAGATAATTTGTATTATTGGATGAAATAGAAATGGAAAACACTAAGATGCAATTCATCCTCTATTCGAGAGGAGGATTTATCTTTCCCAAATCTCTAAACGCCGCTAGAGCCCAGAAACCTAAGGGATCTCAAATTTCAGCCAAATTCAAGATGCCCTAACCCTAGGAAAATAAACTATTTAATGCATACAATTCAAAAGAAAATATCTAAACAGTCCCTACATTCAAATTTCCCTCCTAACTCCCTCAAAAATCATTCCAAAACAACTCCCCTTGGATCTTGCGGCTTGTGCGGCTCATACAGGAGGCGGACTCTTCCACCTCTGTTACATGAGCTGATCCCGTATGGACCGGCTGGACCGGTCTAACAATACTCTCCTCCCAAAGATCCACCTTCTCCTCAAGGTGAAAAGACGACACCCTCTTCATCACAAACGGTAAGAACTTGAAGAATTCAGTCCTTACACCTATGCCCCGGTGTATACCTCTCGTTACATCTAAAACAGAATCCCTTCACCCTCTTCTCCTATAATTTTGTCTCTGTGAGCTTCTTGAAGTTATCCCCATATCTTCCTCATGCAGTCTTTTCCTTTGAAGTCCCCCAAAGCATATCTAGTGTTGGCTCCTTGGATGTCAATAAGGTGTTGATCATCCTATACGAGCCTCCTGAGCTGCTACCTCCCATTCCTCTCTCCAGGTGTCTCTGATCCTCCACCAACTGAGCTAGCTCCATAACCTCTCCCAAGTCAAGAGGCCTCATCACTCTAACTGCCGCCCAGATCTCTGGTTTCAATCCCTTCATGAAGTTCCCGTCTAACATGGACTCAGAAAGTCGGTCCAATCGACTAGCAAGGTACTCAAACCTCTCCCGATACTCTATCATAGAATCATCTTATTTCATGATAATTTGTACTCTAATCTTGATCATGCTTTTGCATTGAGTTTGGCATTCTCATTATAACATGTTAAGATGCTTTTTTGAATATATTCAATGCAAAAATAGCTTTGATTATGCCAAACTCAAAGCAATGGAAATCTGGACAATGGAAATCAAAGCTATTTATTCGAGTAAAATAACAATGTAATACTTAGTTTGAAATTAAAATACACAGAAAAATATTTCCTATATAAACAATAGGAATAATCATGTTTCCTAGACAAAATAATGCCCAAAAGTGAAAAGATGGCATTAGAAATAATGAAGGTGAGGGAAAAAAGGTTAAAATGTTTTCCACCTTGCGTAGAAGCCCTAGACTCGCATTTTGCAAAGTTAGCAATTCCACGAGCAACTTGAGCGAGAACATCCGGATGCCCACATCTGACCATCCCAAGAAGTGCTTTTATGCCACCTTCTGCTCTAAGTCTTGTCTGGAGTCTATCTGTTCAAAGCATAAGAAAATGAGACTTGAGATATTTCTCCGTACCAAAAAAAGAAATTAAACTCAATTATCTATGACCTCCAGCATTATACAAAGCTCTCTAAATATCACCAATTAGAAATTATAATGAATTATATTCTTCAAAGATAGTGAAAGTGTCAATTGAATTTGACACTCCATTCATAAAAACAAGAGATGGAGATAGAAACTAAAAAAAAATTAAAGACATGTTATGCCCATAGCCAGTTAACCCTCAAAACTACTAGAAAGCTGAGCAAATAAAATTACACACGGAGGGGAGTGAGGAAGTAGATTGATGTGAAACATAAAAGGATTTGCAGGAATTTAATAAAAATTTGTTAGGCTTGCTAATTTTAAAATTAATATTTCACAAGATTAGATTTTAGGATTTCTTAGTTGTTGATGTGCTTTGGCATGCGATTACAAACTAGATTAGCAGGATAATTTAAAATAACAACAAAATTAAAGTAAAGCTAGATGCATAAATAACTGAAATCCACCGGTTAACAAATAGAAAGTTCACCTTGAATTCCACTTACTCCCACTCTTGAGGGTTGTCTTAACGGAAGAATAATTTCAACAAACTTGAAGACGCCACCAAAAGACACAAGAAGCCTACAACATTGCCCAATGAAAACGTTGCAAGAGGGGAGGGAGTCGGTGAATGTTGAATAATTCGCCACTGTCTGGAGATTTGGTGCTCGTCGATGACAAACGTCAAAGTGAATAGGATCTGGTCGATGTAGTCGTCAACAGTGTGGTTGATCTCCAAATTGAGATCGAAGAAATGGGATCTCAACACATCTACTCTTCGTTGACGATCATATATGAATCTGTGGTCTTGTTCAGGATCGTCCATTCATGGGGGATGTAGGCCGAGTGGTTGTATCTTCCTTCTTGAACGGTATGTGAAGCAAGGGAGAATAACGGTAATGGAGGAGATAGGAGTTTGGGGGTTTCGACCAAGGCTAGGATAAGAGGCCTCTTTAATCTAAGCTTTTGGGTTTATGTGGGTGGAGGAGCAATAAATTAAAATATGAATTTTAATTTCAGATTTTATAAGGGAAAGAAGAGAATAATTTTGAAATTCGACGGAAGAGTTCTGCACAATAGATTTATAAGCTATGTTTCCTTTGTCTTTTCAACCAAGGACAAGCATAGAAAACCTTTTTTTAACGACCTCAGGATTGAAAATTATGAGGTCAATGCTTTCAGGATTTTGAATTGTAAAAACAATACCCTCCAATCGGAATGCTAAGAATACCAAGAAATAAAAAGCGTAAAAGGTAAATTAATTTTGTTATTTATTCATCATTTTTCCTGTATAGAGAATAACGAGAAAGTTGTGAGTGCAGGCAGTAGTATGGTACTTGACTATGTTGCACCGATACACCTATTTATGAAGGCATGTTGTATCCGATAACCGTACATGGATATGCCACCGATACGTGTCGAATATGCCAAAGCCGTATCCAATTAAAATACTATTTAATTTCAAAAGGACACACGTATCCGATATGCGTGTCCGTTGAAAAACAAAAAGAAATCCGAAAAAAAGTGCGCGTATTTACTTCAGCAGTTGCGAGCAAGGTTCTCTCATTTCCGAGATGGATTTGAGTCTCTTGATGATATGGGAATATTAGAAATTACTAATCTTTCACTTGATGAGCCTGAATTAGAAACTATGATATTTATTGAAGATGATATAGAAGTTCAAAGACAAACCACAAAAGAAGCTAATCATATCATTCCTTATATTGAATAGTTGAAATTTCATGTGCTAGACAATTTATGTTTATGCTTTTGTTGTTGTACTAGACATTTAATGCTTACTTATATTTTGATATAATAAGCTACAAGGCTACAAATGATGTTGTTATTATTTTTGTTTTGTAATTTCAAATTTTATGTTTTGATTGCTTTCTTAATTTTTATGTATGATTTATAAATTATAACGCCGTGTCCGCGCTGTACCCGTATCCTGTATTTTTAAGAATTGACGTGTCCCATATCCGTATCATGTTGTACCCGTGTCGTCGTATCTGTATCGGTGCAACATAGGTACTTGATGATGAATAAAGGGGCTTTTGACAACACATTACTTGGCTTAACTTTCTACGATGAAACCGTGAATTAGATAATACTCTTTTCAAATCCAATATATCCAAATTTATGGAAATATATAAATAACATTTATCAACAAGGAAACTAAATTATTTTAGCTGGAAGAAAAAATGGACATCCATATTGATATTTAAAACATGAGTACATAATGACAAATCCCTTTTATTTTGCAATATATGCATTTCAAATAAACGAGAATCCACATAATTCTTTTGCAAAATAATATATCACATGATTGACCTAGAGAAAATATCTCAAATACACTTGAGGTGCAAAGAATAACAATTACAAAATATGAACAAACAATCTATAAATTAGATTATGATTATTGCTTTAGCGTCACAGATCATTAAGATCAAATGCCAAACATTATAAAAATAAGGAGAAATTCAACTGCCATGCACGCCAATACATAACCAGTTGCAGGATGGTGGTTAAAAAAGAATTAGGCGATGAAACCATAGAAAAAAAGCAGTTTCATATTATCAGAGTAATGCTAAATCTGTAACAGGAGCCGCGTTTACCATTGCCACATAAGTTAGCAATAGCTCCAGCCACCATCCGAAGAGTTTGAGGGTCCTCAGCATCAGCTGCAGTCATTGATAACAAACTGATGCCATCTTGCACCATTACAAGCTCTTGGTTTGTTTCTGGAAAGATAAAAATTTTAGATTTTATGTACGGATGTATGATGATTGGGTGTACAAAGTACAGAAATTTTCATCAGGGCCTTTTCGGTCGTCTAAGTCATATGATGAAGCATCATAAATAATATAAACCCAAACAGCATGAACCAAGACTTAAAGGAGCAATACCATTCATTGCAAGATTTGCAATTGCACCAGCTGCTACCCTGCGTATTGTTTCATCCTCTGAGCTTCTTAGAAGGATAAGCAAGGAACTAAGGCCTCCTGCTTCAACAATCTTCTCTTGATTTGCTTCTGCTTGAAGAACAATAGCAAGGAAATCAACAAACCCATCAATTTAAAATAGCATGAGTAATTATGATACAAAAAAAGTAATCAATGCAAACCGCTAATGTTCATAGATATTAAGATTGAGCATTGAAAAAAAGAATATCAATAAGATATATATACACGCAAAAATGGATAAGATACATGTTTCCACTTCACAACACCTTCTGGATACATAGTAACAAGATAAAGTCCAATTTTTTCTTTAAAACAAACAAATAAAAACTCCAGTTTACTTGTTCGTATTGGCAGATGTAAAAGTCTAGTAGGCATGCAGGAAGATTTTTAGGTTTCTATCCCTTCTGAAACAGCAATCCAAGAAATTTAGTCATTGAAACTTCTTAAAAAAAGGATTCTAGCCACTGTCAATTATACTCAACTCAACATTCATCATTCCAGCTATCCGACCGATGCAATCATAATAACTAATATGCATACCCTACTCTGCTCTCCAAAGTCATCTAATATAACTAACAGAAAATGTAGCTTAACAGAAATCATCAGGTACATCACCCACGTCTCACGTACTGCTTCAGAGCTTGTTTATTCTTCGCCATCATTAACTAAAGCAATATTAATTCAGTTATGAAATGTTTCCATTTTATGTACACAGGATTCATAATAATATCTACAACTACATGACCACAGTCAAGGCCACAAAAAGAAAAAAAAAATGGAAAATACTGTCAACTGGATGTATCACCTTCAGCTGCAAGGTTTGCTACAACTTTTACAGCATGAATACGCACATCTGCATCTTCTGATTCAAGCAATGACAAAATCTTCTGCAAACCAACTGAAAAATAAATAGGCTTCTTAGAAAGAAATCAACGATGCAATTAAAATCAATCATTGAAATGTTATAATGTGAATGGAAATTAAAATCTCATAGCACCTTGTTCAAAAAGTTTAGCAATAGATGCCTTCTGCCCATTTGCCGAGTCTCGAATTTGAGAAGATCTAGCTTGGGACATAAAGGTGTCAAAACCAGAGAAAGCTTTACCAGATCCACCTCTATCAAGGCTTCTCCGAGTCTAATTTCATAAAGCAAGGAAGAAAAAAAATTAGCATGATCCCAGTGGCATGTTACTTAGAAAAAACCATAATTTTGCCATATAAAGATGTACAATAACCCATCAGATAGTTAATATAAAGGTTACAGATGAAAGCACTCACAAATGATATATGCATATATTCAAACAGTATTGAATATCATAAATCCCTACCTCATCAGCTTCGAAACTCAACTGCAAAAGCCTATTTTTTAGAATATTAATCTCTTCTTCAAGCTTCTCTTTCTGATGGGCTTCACTCTCGAGTTTCTTGTTAAGCTTTACAATCTCAGCATTTGCAGCTGCCTAATAAAAGAAAAAGAAAATGTGCATACCATTTACTATATAATAAAATATATATGGCTTATGAATAGGAAAACTACATTATAAACAGAAATATATACGATATAAATCATACCTCTAACCTTTTCCACTGTGCTACCTGACTCTTAAGGCTAGAAACTTCATCCTCGCTTGATTGTCTTAAAAGATTTTCAGTCTTTACCAACTGTTTGTCATCATTCATGCTATCTGAAGTTGATGGCACTGAAGCCTAAACATGGAAAAAAAAACTAGTTACTGTGTGGTATTTAAAATATTTAGAAGTATTATGATTGCTCCATATTAGCACCTATAGCATAACAAGGCATAAGGATTTACAAAACTCTAATCTGGAATTCTCTGCAATATTCTATCATCATCATTAGCCTTAAACCAACTATTTGAAGCCAACTTTATGAATCCTTGCTCCTTTCATTTGCGTGTCATGTGTGATGGTAAATTAATATTAAGCAAACAATTTTAGCATAATTCTATCTATATTACCTTTGATCTACCTCTTCTCCTTCCTCATCCTTCGACAATAATTTTATATACTCGTCCTATGGGAGAATTTTCAACCCTCCTTTATGCAAATCAATAGCTTTCACATCTATTTTCTACTATCTAATATTCAATATATGCTAATCCCACAACTCTCTTTATTACCCATAACTTAATAGTATGCAAAATAGTTGGTTTAATTATAATTTTAGAAAACTTAAATTTAACCTATTTGATTGGGGATTAGGAAAATTAAGCAAGAAGTGGGAGAGAAGTTTAAAACATAAACCTTATGCAGTCTAAAGTCATTAGCTTAACCAAAAAGATAAGCTTAAACAGGTTCAAATACTGATCAGGAAGATGAAAAGCTTGAAGCCGAATTAATTTTGTTGATTTGTAACACAGAAAATTAAGTCACTTCTAAGATAGAAATTTAGAAAATAGAAAAAATATTTTAATCTACTAGAGCCACTAATCTTTTTTAATTAATATAATCATCAATAGAAGTAACTTAAAATCATATAGACATCAAATACAAAATTATATTCAATCCTCAAAATTCATATATAATAGCCAAGAGTTCAATTGATACGTTCATTAGTCTATCTTTTAGCTCTTTACAATCATCAATAGAAGTAAATAGGAAACGACTTTTGTGCACTTTCTGCATACCAGAAAATAATCCTAACTTCCTCCTGTAAAATATGAGGCAATTTTATATATTCCCCTGCGAAGCAGGGTGTTTTCTATACATCCTCCTGCAACACAAGAGTCAATTTTCATGCTCTCTTGCAAGTCAGGAGACACCCATATATACTCTCCTGCAAAGCATGGTGTATATGTCAAATTCTCCTATAACATAGGAGTTGATTTATATATATCCCTGCAAGGCTGGGGACAATTATATCTATCCTCCTGCAATGCAGAAGATAATTTTCACACCCTCCTGCAAGGCAAGAGGTATATATACTTTCCTGCAAAGTAGAACATCATCCATATATTCTCCTGTAATACATGAGGCAATTTATATATATTTCTGCAAGGCAGAAGATACCTTTCACATTCTCTTGTAAAACAGGAGGCAATTTATATATATTTCTGCAAGGCAGAAGATGCCTTTCACATTCTCTTGTAAAGAAGAAGGCTATTCTATATATTTCTCCCACAAAATAAGATGCAATTATCATATAAATGCTTTCGTAAAATGAAAGGTGATTATATATAAAACAAGATGCAATTATCATATGTATGCTTCTGTTGAATCTTATCTGGTTCAGTGGGTTTGAAGGATGAGTGTCCTCCCTTACCTCCCCTTGTAGGGAGGGGACATCGGAAAGCTGCCGAAATTTTCATAAAATTTTTTTTGATTTGTTTGGACAGTTGGAGAACTTTTCATTGAGCAATTTAATAACTAATTGGACAATTCAATTAATTAAGTAAATAATTCATTAATTAATGAGCCTAATATTTAATTAAGGAAAAACATCAATTAATCTCTTGATCAATTAAATAACCTATCGTGTTAATTAACAAAAATGGACAAATAATCTAAACGATTAAATTACCAACTAATTCCAAGTTAACTAATAACTAAAACTGTTAATTGATTAGATTAAGCAGAAGTCTTTAATTAATCAATTAACTAACTTGATCTAAATATTTAAAACTTTAACTTAATTAAACTAATCAATTCATTAAGTTAATTAAATTAGATTGAAATCTCATTTAATTGAATAATGAAACCATTTAAGGTAAAAGCAATCAATCTGAATTTTAATTCATAACCTAAAATTTAACTCAAAGCTAAAATAAAAGCAAAAGCTTTAATTAATCAACATTAATTAATTTAAAAAAATCACTTAATTAACCAAATAAACTAATTGAATTTAAATTTTCAACTTAAATAATTTGAATAAGAGAAAATTTGAATTTTAAAATAGATCAATTAATGTAAGATTAAAACTAAAATCTAATTAAATAATATTTAATTAATGAAACATTTAATTATATTTAAAACTTTACAACAACAATTGAATTTAAATTTTCAACTTAAATAATTTGAATAAGAGAAAATTTGAATTTTAAAATAGATCAATTAATGTAAGATTAAAACTAAAATCTAATTAAATAATATTTAATTAATGAAACATTTAATTATATTTAAAACTTTACAACAACA